AAAAAAAAAAAAAGGAGAGGTAGAAAATTCAGAGCAGAGCAGAGATATTAATTTTTACTAACAATCACATGCAATAGAAATTCTAAATATCTGTCAAAAACAAGGCTAAGTGAACTATTTTTGAAGCAAAAAAAAAGACCCCTGGGCGAGAAATTTTATAGTCATCCTCTTTCTAGGTCGGAACTCTCTTAGAATGAGACAAAGAAAAATCTGGACCTGGAATAAGAGGGAGACATTAGGAACCCATTCACCACCCTGACAGAGATTTGTTTAACAAACAGAGGAAGGGCCAGCGTAATCAGATATCACAGGAAATGTGAATGGACTGAGGGGAACAAATGAAAAATTATGACTCCAGAGTAAAGGGTGATACATTTTTAGAATATCCATGAGGTTAAGTTAGGTGGAAAAGAAAAAGAAATTAGTAGAGTATGATAAAGGAAAGAACCATTTTTCATGTTTCTCCACAAGAAAACATTCAGTATGCTTTGCAAAAATTAAATTTGATATTTTAATGTACCTGACTGAACAAGCACTAAATGAATTCTGTACTGAAATTAATTTAAAAATTCCTAATACCCATTCTATACAATACAGAATCAGGGCAGGGGGACAAGGAATGCCTCCACATAAAATAAATGTCTTGTTCTGGTTTTCCTTTATTAAGCATAAATGAAGGGCATCTCAAAAGTATATAAAATAGAATCCAAGAATGCTAGTTTTCTTTCTTTTTTTTTTTTTAAAGGAATAGAAAATCATCATGAAGAAAGGATCTTAGGAAGTATACTAAGGTCATTAAAATATAATTGGACTTGCAGGAACAATTACTGTGCTGTACTGTAAGGGGAGCTGTTGGCACATAAGAGCAAAGCACACGTATGAGCTCATAGCGGCCTTGGCAAGACCCACTTCCAGCTAGAAGCAGTCGTGTTTCAACACCTCCGATTCCCTAATGCTGACAAGCTAAACAACTTGTTTTGTCTCTGGGAGCTCTTCTCTGGTGATTAACTGTTTATGGCGAATACTAATTATATGAAAGTACAGTATTGAAGAAGTAGTGTTCTATTTCCTCTACCTGTAGCCTTGACTTGTCTTTGAATCTAGAAGGTACCAGGTAGAGCCACTGCAAACCAGAACCAAGAAGACCTTCCTCCCCCGGTAATAAATGTATCTCCTACTTTTTAGTATAGCACAGATCACTGACAAGAAACCTCCTTTAACCTCTGGGCTCCAAACCAAATATAATTATAATAAAGTGAGTGTTTTTAAAGGTTTGTAATAATCATACAGATAAATCTGCAGCAAGAGTTTGAGAATTAGTGAACTATCAGTGTCCTCAATTCCCCATGTCCCATGTTGAAAATTTACCCCAAATTGTCAGTTCTTAAGAACTGCACCTCAGATTAAAATCTTCTCACCAGGGAGTCTATAAGAATTTGTTCTTGTGTTTTAAATCCTAAGTGCTTGTTAAACTGCCAACACTGCAAAATTAGAGACCATTAAACAATATAAGGCAGCAAGTGATTAAATCTACCACATACACATTCAAAGCAGCTTAAGCTACTTTTTAATTAAAAATAAAATATCATTGGCTAAATTCAAATGTCTTAGCTATCCAGAAAAAGTTAGACGGCTGTTCAAAATGCAAAATGCTGCTGTTAAGGTCAGATAGAAAAGGAGAACTAGGGTAGGGGGAGGTCTGAAAGGGGGCCCATTTCGGTCCCTGAGTTTCCAACGCTGACCTGGTTTGGGCAGTGGACATTAAGTGGGGTGTCACTGCTGTGCTGCAGGGTAAGGATGCCATGTGGCTGCTGATTAAATAAGCTTTATTAGCAAAGGCCTCCAAGGGGACAGGGTGTTCCACCTTCTTGGCAAGGGAATGAGTTGAGTAACAGCATTGCAGGAAGCTAAGGCATTGGAGATGTATAGATGGCTGAAGGAAATGTTAGTGCTATTTTTAAACACAGCTTAAGCTAATTGATTAACATTTCTTGAAATGATTATTAGCTTTTGGGGAAGAAGGCATGGGGGCTTTTGAGTTAATGGGAACACTTGAGATTAAAAGAAATTTTTACTATAAAGTTAAGAGTAAATAAATATTATAGCTTTAAGTTGTTCTTACTTGTTTAAAGCAAAGAAAAAGGGCCAGGGGGCTTAGTCAACTTCAGGCAGGAGGCCAAAAATCTGAACATCAGACTTAAGGCTGGGATGATATCATTCACTATGAAGCCTTGATACTCTTTCTGAAGCATGAGAAAATTTACTGGTAAAACCTTACCTCACCCACAGTTTTTTCAAATTTTTAACTCTATTTTTTTCCTTTCGAGAATAATTTTCCAAATATGCTTTCTGCCTTATACATAAATGTTATAAATTTACTTTTAGCTTCAAACATGGTCTTACCTAAAAAACTTGCCCTAAAGTAAAGTACAGGCACTTGGTAGCTACAGGAATACAAGACATGATACTCATATTTAATCACTTCAGATGCCGCTGGAGTCTCAGTCACTTCAAAATCATCTGAGGGTAGTTCTAAAGCTTCCTGTAAAAAAGGAAAAACAAAAACAAAATGTGTTTGTCAATTAAAAGACTACTAACATGGAGTCAGAAAGATCAGATTTTCTTCTTGCAAAATAACAGTTAAATAAATATAGAGCTATGAGGTAAGGAAAACGGAGTTTCTCATATTAATGTTTAACTTTTGAGTCCTGAGTAAATAGTAAAACCAGAAAACATTAGCATTAAGTAATTCCAGATTGTTTTTGAGAGACAAAGCAGCTCTGGGTAAAGAAATGGGAAAGGGAAAGAAAGCAAAAAGATCTACTGCAACGGCAACTCTGAAAAATCTTTACTGTACAATTTTAGCAACAAAATGATGGCTATACAAGCTACTTTCTTCCCTACCCGTGAAAGCTAAAAACATCCTAACAATTGAACAAGAGGCTGTGAAATATCCCTAAAGATTCTATTGTGCTTGCCAAAAGATGATTCATTGTGTGCTGAACAATTCCCAGTTCCATTTTGAATAAGAAAGTTATGTTGCAAGAGGTTGAGTTTGTTAGGTATATTTCAAAACCTGAAATGATTCTGTTTTCTTCTTTATGGTGCTAGTTTTGGTATATTTCTAAAGTAAATCTTGATTTATAATAGAATAGATGGCAAATATTAATGTCAACTTAAACAGGTTTTGTAAGCAGAGATGGTGATAGTCATCTCACTTCACACCTAATCATTCTTTACTGGTTGAATTTTTTTATGATGTGTGGGGGTTTCTTAAGAATGTATCTTAAAGAATGTAGCTTAGAAGCAATTAACTGGACAAGTTGAGTCAGAGTCTGGTTCCATCCACATTCACTTATTTATTTGGGCCGAAGAATTTCCTTTGAAATTAAATTAGTAGAAGGAATGAAGCAGGTTGGTTTGGCTCATTTCTACCTCTCATTAGAACAACAATGCTACAGTGCGCCGTTTGGGAAGCG